ATAAATATTATTATTTTTTATTATTATAAAGATAAATATAATTTATTTATTTCATATATACAATATGGATGTCAAATCGAAGATCATCAAAGGATGATTAATTTGATATATGATATATGTAAAACCAATAAGAAATACAAAAGTTATCAACTTTTAAAAGACATTTATAATTCAATAGTCAATTGAAGGAAACAAATCAAAAGTCAAGGATATATTAGTCTCTTAGTGCATCAGTATGTAAAATTACAAAGAAATAAAGGGTTATATTAGTAAAAGTGATATTAAAATACCTAAGTTAGCTAAATAATATTTATGGAATGTCCAAACCTAAATTATTAATTATTCATATATCAATATTATTTGTCCAGACCTAATTACGAAGCATGATTTTTCGCCAAGTAAGATTCCGAAGCACCAGAAGCAGTCACGTAGGCTCAGCGCATTCGGGAATAATATATAGGGAGGATATATTTTACCGTGCATCGCACGAGATTCGTACTAGTTAAAAAAATTTAAAAAAGGGCAAAAGATAAACAGTAAAAGGCCTGGCCCAAATAGCAAACTAGCACCGTGCGAATTGGACTAGCCCGGGTTCGGCACCATCAGAATTCAAATCTGACCCGGGTTCGGCCCAATCAGAAACCAAATCTACTTTTAACCTTCCAATACAAATTTGCCCCTGCTTCGGATTTCAGATTTCTCGCTCGAGACTCGTCTGTACTGTCTCTATCAATACAAATTTTCAGTGTTAGTGAAATTTATTGGCATTTTGATCTGAGTAATGAAGTACGAATTGCAGAAAATATGGTGTTGGTTGCTATAATGCTACTATTGTTTGTGATGGTTAAGAGATAAGCATGTAGACAACATGTTCGACAAAATTTCATAGAGAAAAACTGAATACAAATGTAGCATTTTAGGCCCCGCCTAGATGCTCTAGGCGCTGATCCGGCTTCTTGATACTTCTAGAACACTGGTTTTGAGGTCATCACCTATTATCACAATCTCAAGATTAAGCATTATCCTTTGTGTCGATAGATATGTTTCTCGAATTTCACTGATTGTAGCTTTTCGATTGAAATATTGTTTGTTCCACTGTTTGGATTCCATTGATTTTATTAGTGTCAAACAAATCTTTCACAACCCTAACGTTCATCGAGTTCGAGTTTAAATCTGGTGCGGGTAGGGTAAAAAATCTGGTGGAGCAGATACGGGTTACCCAATTAAAAATGGTCAATTTATATTGAAAAGCAATTTACTTGTAAATGCAAGTTCTTGATTATTTAGACGTATGTTATGATAAATTGGAGCATTACATTCAGTTACATCTTTAATTCAGTCGGTATGAGTTCATCTATTTTATTGCATCGTTCAATTTGCTGCCTTTTGTTAATTCCTTGCAGTAATAAATGTTGGTGAAGATTGGAATTTTGCTGGGATGTTACGCTTTATGAGTCTGGTGTTGTACGTGCAATTAGCCACAGAATTAATCTCTTGTCTTGAATTGTATGGTCACATGGGTGAAAGAAATTCATCTTCAAGGAGTTTTCTTGTATGTTTCTGCAGCTGAATGCAATTTTTAGATGTTTGCGAACAAAATGGTAGTGCTTTTGAGTCGTGTAGATTCACTCTCTCGTAAATGCCAGTGTTTTCTTTTCACAAAACATGGTCTATTGTTTGTATTTTCCATGGCTGTTTTTAGTCTTCTACCAGTATTTTCGCTGAAAACATTTTGTGCAATGCATTTAGGTTTCAGTTGTTAAGGTAGATCATCCAGTATGGTGTTCGTTTACAAAATACAGTGATCTCTCGATTCTAAAGACATTCAAGTTCAGGTTTTCGTCAGAGAAGGCAAGAATATAGTTTAAATGTTTTCATTTTATTCGTAAAATGGTGGTCTGGGCTGAGTCTGATTTTCTCATTATTATTATTATTATTATTATTATTATTATTATTATTATTATTATTATTATTATTATTATTATTATTATTATTATTATTATTTTATTTTTTTTTTATTATTTCTTTCTTTGGGCAGTTAAGAGTTGTATCGGCTCTAAAACATGACCCTGGCCAAAGTGACAAGTCTTTGGTTGTATCTAGTACTGGTGAGAAGTAGGTCAGGTTCTGTTTTCTCAGATTATTATTTAAATTTGTCGCTCAATTCGCCTTCCTTATTTTTTGTTGCTTATTTTATTTTTTTCTTATTTTAAACGATAGGGGTAATTTCTTATGGAGAATCTCAGTTTCGTCCCTTCTCCTTTTGTTATAGTTTTGTTTCTCGTCTTTAAAATGGCAAATTAATAAATCCATGGCGACCTGGGATGCAGGAAACTTGTTAAGAAGTCTGGAAAATAAGAACATCACTTATGGAAGAAAAGAGATTCATCTGGTTCGGGACAGAAGGTAATGAATCTTGTTCGCGTTGTATGTATAATACGTGTATTGTTCAATGACCTGAGATTATATACTTAAATAGTAATATCGAGGTAATGTGGCAGATCTCTGGAGTTCCAAACGAAAAAGTGGCTGTTTACAGTGCTCTAGATGAGTGGATAGCATGGGAGACTGAATTTCCTTAAAGATTTTGAGGAACAGGAATCAGTGGAAACGCATTATTCAAGTATGAAATTTGCGGAGTCCAGTTCTTGGTGATGTTTCGAAGCGCTAATTACAGTTTTTGGTAGAATTTTCATCATAAGATATGCAACATTTTGCACATTCAGGTGGGTAAGTGGATGCTGAGCAAAGGTCAAGGAGCAACAATGGCAACTTACGACTGCCTTTTACTGGCATTTGACATGGACGGACGAGTGGATGAGGCCGAGACATTATGGGACATGATTTTGCATGCGCATGATCGGTCAATATCAAAGAGGCTGTTTTCTAGGATGATATCCTTGTACGACCATCATAACACACCGGATAAAGTTATAGAGGTGATTTTTCTCGGTTAATGCTTGATACCCACCTAATCTGTATATATGACTGGCCTGGATTATGAAAACCCAGGTATTTGCTGACATGGAGGAGTTGGGAGTGAAGCCGGACCAAGATACTGTTGGAAGGATTGGACGAGCTTTCGAGACGTTGGGTCAAGAGGACAAACGAAGAATGTTAATGATGTAATACGAAAGTAAATGGAAATACATTTACTTCAAGCGAGAAAGGGTAAAGGTGAAACTTGATTCTTAAGATGAAACATCTCTCTGTTCGGAAGATGTATACATTCTATGCTCGGTATATTTGTTCGTTACATAGTTTTAAGATGTCTTGGCAAGCATGGCAAGAGAATCAAAAGATTTATTGTAACTGTGTAATGTGTGCATACTCTCTTCTAGAAGAAGCAATGGACAAACCTTTGTCAGGAAAAGCAAAAGAGATGATAACATGAAGTGACTCATAAGAGATGAATATATGTATCATTCAGACCAATGATAAATGTCATGACCGAACCATTTTATTGTGATGCGATCATGTGCAAGTATTAAAAGCACTGCAGTGACATCGAAAAATTGAAATTGGCCTATAGGTTACATATTCATCCCAAAGAGCCCTAAAGGCATTATAGTACCGTGTGATGGAAAGTGAACCATGATACATAGAACTCGTGATTTTTCAAGCTGAAAATCTCTAGGACCATTAGACGATTAGAAAGGCCATATCGAGATTTGATTTCTTTCCAAACGTCTTTGGCAACATAAAAGAAAAGTAAAGATTGATGAATATCTTTTGTAACAGAGTTCAGCAACCAACCAGGACAACACCAAGTTATTAGCATGTACCCAAACAAGTGACTCAGAAGGATTTTGTGTTGGAATAGGAACATAAAGTGTACCGTCAATAAACCATAATTTAGTATATACGTTGAGTGCCATGGATATGGCCCCTGATAGTGAGACGTAATTGTCGCTTGGTGTTTATTGTGTTTTTGTGTGTTTATTTTTATATGATTGTGTGTGCTTTCGAGTTGATTCTAGGCTTATTTTAGTGTCGACCGGTCCATTTTGGCGTTTATCGTGTGTTTTTATGTTTTGTTGTTTGTTTCATATTTTGGCGTACTTTCCCGTACTTTTGCTATGAATTTCAGGTTTATTCCGGGATAGAGATGGAGAGTCGAGTCATGCTCCGAGAGAGCCGAGTCACGTTCCGAGCAACGAGCATTCCCGTAAGAGTCGAGTTTCCGAGTAGTTTCAAACCATTTCATGCGAGTATGTGCAAACCTAGAAGTTGAAGCCGTAGTCGAGACCATATTCCGATGTTGACCAGCACATGTCGCGCGCTCGTGCAGAACTCCGCGGGCGAGGATCCAGCGCCCAGCCATTGCGCGCTCGCGCGCTCGTGAGGCAGCCCGCGCGGTCGAGAGTGCCGACGTCCCAGCCAACGCGCACTCGCGCGCTAGCGAATCACCCCGCGCGGTCGAGAGTGGCCCGTCCCCAGCGTCCAGTGCACTCGCGCGCTCGCGCCCCTCTCCGCGAGCTCGGGAGTGTGATGTTTAGCTGCGTTTTAATATGTGTTTTTCCTGGAGTATAAATACTTTTTGGCCTTTGTATTTTGAGGACATCTAGCTCATTATGAAATGTTTCCCTTCTTTGTTTTCTTAGCTTAAGTCTTTTATTTACTCTCTAGAGCAAGGTGGATGCTATTTACATTTTCCGGCGACTTTTTCCGGTGACTTCTCGTTTATGCAAGTTTTAATCTTTTTCGTCCGTTATCGATCGAGCATGCGTTAGGGATGTGAGTATTTACTTTTAAACCTTATAATCTCGATTTTCGTACTTACTTGCTATCTCGTGCGTAGAAGTAATTGAGGCTTGCTCGGTTATCGAAATTTTAGTAGTTGCTTTAGCTATCTTTATTTCCCTTGCTTTTGTGAGCTCGTTTATGATGCTTGGAGTTGATTGATTGCTATTAGAAAAATCGGGACTTGATATCTAGCTCGGTTATTTCGTGGTAGGATTTCGATTTTAACTATCAAGCATGTTAAATGGAGTTCGTTTCTCTTATTTTGGCTTTTTGTTGCCCTTGGATTTGTGCACCGGTTAGTTGCTAGAGTTTGTAGTACGTTCACTTGCTTATTGTTCGTTTAATCGCTTTCCATCATCGTAATTAGCATTAATCAACCTCAATCAATTGTTTAGAATGTTTAGGATTTTATTTTCGATTTTTGTGATTTTGTCGATCATCTAGTAGACAAAGCTCCGAATAGCCTTCCTCCGAGATCGACCCGAGTCGGGTAACTCGGTTATCCTTTGCCCATCATTTTTATACTAAACAATATAATCAAAGTTAGCACAAAAGAAATAATGACACACTTAACACCTTTACATAGACTAAAAATCGCACTTCATTTTTTTTTCTACACGAAAGAATAATGACTATGGGGTAGCTTTCACACTAAACCAAAGGTAGCCTTGTTTCTACGTGATCATATCTCTTTCAACATATTTTTAATTATAGAAGAATTCAGTCACAAGGATTAGCTTCACTCTCTGGAGTAGGTAGCTCTTGCCCTTCACAGTCTCCAACATGCGATTTTTTTTTTTGTATTTTTTTTTTTTTTTTAAGTTACGACCAATAATCCATTTATCGAGTGAAAAAATGCACCATTACAACTTTATGCCTCCAACAAATATACCGTTTATGCAATAATAATGCAAATATGAATGAAAAGAAATAAAAAATGCATGTATGCAAAAAAAATAGTGTTTCAACGATGATGCATCATGGAAATTGCAACACGATTCCTATTCTAGTTCAAACAATGCAAAAATTGAGAGATTTCCTTAAATTAGAAAACCCCTCATAATCTAATGTCTTGGTGAATATATTAACTAAATGATTCTCAGTCCTTATGTACTCAATGCAAAATATGTATTTCTCAACTATATCCCGAATAAAGTGATGTCATATATCTATGTGTTTTGTGCAAGAATGTTGAACCGAATTTTTTGAAATATCAATCGCGCTCTTGCTATCACAATATACGGTTAAGAAATTATTATGTCGACAATAATTCACAATCATTTGATTTATTCGTAAAAGTCGACAACAAGAAAATTTTGATTTTAAATCATGCAAAGACACCATACTATTCACAAGAATTCTCTCAAAAAGGTTATCATTAACACTATTAAAAACGCCACACAACTTTCTTACCATTAGATGAAACAAACTACCTTTTGTTACCTCACCAAATAATCGCGACAAAGGATTGAATCTCCGAACTACTCTTCTCCGATTAGGAACATCATCATCAGATCTTATCTCAGCCTCGGAAACGGTATTTTGCTCGTCTGAGATACGTGTCGCTTCAGATGTTGTGTCTGGTGTTGTGTCAGGTGTCATGACATATGTGGCGACATCTGGGACAACATCTGGAGCAGCACTACGTAACGAAAGATCTATCAAGTCATGAACGTCATCATGAGCATTTTTTACCCGATAACTATTTTGGGTAGTTCGTACACCTGCCAAAATACATGAATTAGACTCATCAAACACTTCACAAGTCTTACTATCAAATTTAACATGAAGGTTATCATCACATAATTGACTATAAGTCCATCAACCAATAACACATTCTGAAGCTTTGGGAGGCCATCAACATTGAGAGTTCCACGTCCGATAATCTTTCCATGTTCACCTCCCCTGTATGTAACACGCCCACCTTCATATGATTCTACATTAGACAAGAACTCACGAGTGCCAGTCATGTGTCGCGAACACCCGCTATCAAAGTACCACGATCCTGCAATATTAGACTTCAAAGAGGTATGAATAACATTGCATTTCAACTCAGATTTTGGTACCCAAACAAATTTTTCTTTAGTCCTAGTTTTGTGATTTTTGGGCATATTACGAGATACAGGAGGCACCATTGGTTCAAAAGACCTATCAAATGCATGCAATTTATAACAACACGGTCTAATGTGCCCAGGTGCATGACAATAATGGCAAACATACTGACGCCTTCGTTGTTTTGTATTCTTAACAACCTTAGGCGTGGATTTTGAAAAAGACTCACTTGTTTCCTCCGATGGACGAACAAATATAGTAGGCTTAAAACAAAGTCCCGCTTTTTTATGATTATGTTCAAGAGCAGCTAGGACATCCAATTGGCTTTTACCAGTGTTAAGTCGTTGGAAGGTCTGACGGGAGTATTCAAGTTCCTCTCTTACCTTCACTAACCTTTGGTCATGGCCAGAGATGGTCACCTCCAATTGGGTTATAGTAGACTTCAAAGCATCATTCTCGTCTTCCAACTTTTTAGCCTCTGACTTCATCCTCTTATTCTCATCCTTTAACTTATTATTCTCCTTCTCGAGCCTACCTGTTTCCCAGACAACATCTATATAGCGTTTATGAACTTCCACATACACCTTTTCATGATCTTCAGATCTAAAATATAGAAGGCTGCTCGGAAGACCTAAATCCCTGCCTGAAGCATCACAAAACAAGGAGTTAAAGCAAAAAAATTCAGAATTTTCATTTTCATATTTGCCAGGTGTCATGACACTTCGGGCGACACCTGCACCGACACCTGCTGGATCAATTTGTTTGGGCCTGAATTCGCTCACAATCGTCACAAAAACAGCATCTCCATCATTTTCAGCTTCACTTTTAGCGGATTCGTCATAAAATTCTTCATCATCGCTCAAAGTGGTGTTGAAGTTCAAGCCTCTTTTGCGCAAGGTATTAGCACACTCATTTGCATAGTGCCCATACCCTTTGCAAGCATTGCATTGGACGGTCTCGAGTGACTTTGGGGTGAACTTTCTCCCATCATTGAGTTTAGCCTTTTCACCAATTGGATTCGATCGATTCGAATGAGGTGGAGTAAATGGCCTTGGCATTCGGGACCTCGAAGCTTGGGAGTTGTTTTGAGAATTTCTTCTCTTCAGCAAAGATGTGAAGCGTCTCGACATGTGTGCAACTCCTTCTTCATCAAATTCATTCTCTTCCATGTCTCGAACAAGATTTTCAAAATTATCACCACTCTCGGACACAGACTGAAGAGCGATCCCCTTCCCTTTTCTAAAAGGTGCACTCTTTTCTTCGAGATTTTGCACCTCAAGATTCATCTCAAACGTCTTCAAAGAGCCAACAAGATCATCAAATTTAATGGTCGTCACATCCTTCGAAACATCAAACGCCGTGATCATCATATTGAAGCGCTTTGGAAGAGATCTCATTACTTTTGCCACAAGCCTTTCATTTAAGATCGGGTCCCCAAGGGAGTGACTTTCATTGACAATGCTCATCAGCTTGGCCATGCATGACGAGATATTCTCGTTTTCGAGCATTTGAATAGTCTCAAATTTTGTCGCAAGAAGACGTAGCCTCGTTTGACAAACACTCCTCGAACCCTCACAATGACGTTGTAAGGTGTCCCATTCATCTTTGGCAGTAGTGCACGGCTAATTAAGCAAAACATATTATCATCGACCGTGCCGAAAATTGCATTGAGTGCTTTTGAATTGAAGTTGGCCAACGAGCTCTCACCCGTACTATACTTGGCTTCATTTTTCTCGTGTTTCACGCCTTCAACTTCTTTGATAGGAGGCTCCCATCCGGTAAGTACAGATAACCAAGCACGTCCATCAATGGATTTAATGTAGGACGTCATACGCATCTTTCAAATGGTGTAATTTGAGCCATCGAGAATCGGAGGCCGAAAAAGCGAAGTTCCGTTGAACTCCATTTGTACCTATCAAAACAGAATCACACTTATTAAATTAAGCGACCCGCTCTGATGCCACTTGTTAGAATTTTAGGTGCGTAAATATCCAGATTTTCATACAAAGTTGAAAAATAAAATACGCAGCGAAAAATAAATAAACACGAAAGATTCAAATTTAACCTACAAGTAAAAATTACTTGTAGACTAAGGCCACATGCCAACACTCCACTAGAACAAATTAATCACAAAGTTTTTCATTCAATCCAAAAAAAACATCTAGTGAACTACGCAAAACACAATACACGAGTTCAGCAATTATAAGCACTAAATTATATTACATCAAAAGACAAGATAAAAGGTTCAAAGACGAATTGTCCCCCCGTTGTATCTCTGGAGATCCACGCAACTTGCTGCACTTTCTCTGAAATATGGCAGCTGCTTCTTTTCTTGTTAAATCCCACGCATGAACCTTAATACTCTCTCAAGAATGTAATTGCTGCTCTTGATTTTTATCCAATTAATTCCGAGTCCTTTGAAACCTCACGCAGGCTGCTTCTCTTAATTCGCGAGATATAAATTCCATCCTTATCTCTTCCTTTCCAATTAAGAATTCTATTAACAAAAGGAAACCATATAATAATAATATTCTACCAAGAATAAAATAACTAATATATATATATTTATAGGGTCACGCTCCGGTGAGAATGGTTCCCCAAGAAAGAAATAAGAATACATCCTAGCCATTAGATTTGATAATCCAACGATAGAAATAAATAAAAAAATTTTGTACTAGTAAAGGGTATATAAGACATTTCATTCACAGGCCCCAACACTCACGTTCTCTCTCCCTCCTACACGTTACACACAATCGTCT